AAACATTCTTACTGGCCTCTGAACTAGCTTCGACCAAATCCAAGACAAGTACACTAGGTACATGATGAACGTTGTCGATACTAATGACCCGATATTAAGCTTCCTCTGTATCATTAATCCACATAAGCAGAGAACAAAAGATGATATATACCAATAATGTACACATCGTTTGGATTGAACCTACCTTCTAATAACGGTTGCGCCATGTCTTACATTACATAGCATCATGTGCATGAGTCAACATAAGATATGACGACGAACCATCCCTTCAAAATAGTGCACCTATCTCGAAAGTAGCCAGGCAGTCAACCACGGAGGCTAGAAAGAAAAATAGGCAAACCCCAAGTGCTTCGTGCTATCCCGTTAAATTGAATATCGATCACACATTTCACAGTGCTATCTTTCTCATTCTCTATCTCGTTCATTGTTTCGTTCTCGTTCCTTTTTTTATTTATCATTTAAACGGGAGGGCGATGAAAGATGCAATACGAAAAGTCTTGCTAAGTAGCATTTAACTTGTGAAGCAAAAATGGAGGAAGATAATGCTCCAAAACAGCCATGAGCTCCCTACCTTTGCTTACCTCTTCTAACACACCACCACCACCACCACCACCACCACCACCACCACCAAGCCTCGTAGCAGCTTCGACCAGCTGCCCCCTCAGCTTTTGCGAAAACAAGTATCCATCCACTTTTACACATTCCCTATACAGCGGTAGGTAAGCTATTGCAACCCTCAAGGGTGGTGGAATATCCCTCAACGAAATTGGAGATCCACCCCACCTCAAAATCCGCATAAAGTTCAAGTAATTTTCTCGACCTTGTCTCAACCCGTCCAAGTAAGCCGCCTCCGACCAGTGCTCCCGAAGAAACTCCCTAAGCTCCGGAGCAACAGACTCGTCACTTGACTTCGAGATACTGTCTGCAACAGCATATGTTGCAGAAGGATCACCAAGAAAGTTGGAATGGAGGAGAAACTCCACACCATCAAGAGAACCGCTACTCCGTTCCCCAGCAGCCTTTAGAATTTCAATGCTGAGGGCAGCGAGCACGTGTTGAGGTACGTGGGGAAGAAGATACGCAGCGACGTTAATTTGGCTGCTAGACGTGGCTGCTGTTAGGGCGAGGCAGAGTTCCATGTCCTGACAACCTCTTTTCACAAACCACTCGACAACCGGTAAACATCCCCTTTCAGCTGCTCTCATCAAAGGACCCAAAAAAGCTATGGCGTTACCCTCTTCCACCAAGCACTCCATTGTACCGATCTTACAGTAGTGAGAAGCAAAGCCCAAAGCCAGGTCAACATCAACGTCCAAGCTGTTCCTTTGGGCAATCTACAGACACATTCCACAAATCATAAAAAAACAGGAAGAGATGAGTGTAAATCCCCTTTACACATTCCAATTCATGTAAAGGTGAAACCGAAAGAGATGACGTCCGAGAGATTCTCGGACGTTCTTACAGATATTCAACAAATATGTTTGAATCAATCACCAAATTTGCAGTAGAAAAATATAGTCCAACTTTAGATAAAACTTAATATTAATGTAAAAAACTAAGGCTACAAAAAGTACATGAAGAATATCAATCGAGTGAAACAATTGTATGAAGAAAGACTTGAAAGTAATTTCATTATGCTCACTATCAACTCCACCAAATCAGATATTTCTCAAGAAATAAGTAGCTGATATGAACATCATTTACTGTACCTGTAATAAAATGCGCACGAGTTCTGTGCTTCCGAAACGAGAAGCTTCAAGGAAGCACTGGTTAACATTGTCAGCACCACCCTCCACCAGCAAACACAATAAGCCTTGGATTGCGGTTGCTGATATTCCAGTTGCCCATCCAGGATCAAATGAACTAGAAAAGAGAGTGAGTGGGAAACAAGCAGCATCAAAGGCCTCCGTGAAATCTTTTCCAGTAAGTTGATTGCCAGCAAAATCTAGGAACATCTTGAAAGCGGATAACTGAAGTTGGATCTCGGCAGCCGAGCTCTGAGTCACTCGGTCCTTATTTCCTTGGCATCCAGAATGAAAACCTATGCATTTCAGAGCCCACTCGGTAAACTTTTGAACCTTTGTACCAGCCTCTGCTTTTAAGACCTCATCTCCATTGCATTCTTGGAGACGCTCACGCAACCTGCAATTAATGAAATGTCAAACGTAAGAACGTGTCCAATGTGCCAGGTAAAAACTTATTAGCTCGTTGCCCCACATTATAGACATTTTGATTAAAGGACAGTTGAGGTCGAACTCACCAGCAGGAGTTAAGAAAGTGAATGAAAAACTAGTATTGAGGAAGATAAAAATGATGGAAATTATACAATTTGTAATAGACTACAAAGAAGAAAATGTATCTTGTCATGCCAAAAACATTAAGAGCACCCCCATCGTAACAGAACCGAGACTCGTATAGTTTAGTTATTTCCACATATATAGTTATAAGTAAGCTAATTCAAGGAAACCAAACGAAAGATATCAATATTTTCTAACTTCTCACAAGTCGTTGGAAGTAGAGCATAATGAGAACTTAAATAGTTAGTGTTTAAGATTCAACATGAAACACAACGAAACATTAAGGGGCCCATTTGTTTTGATTGTGATTAAAACAACTCATGTAGTAATAAGATCTTATCTTCACCTTTGTGCCATTACAGTTACGGTATCCGCAAGACTCATTGTTCGACTCTGGCAGGCAGAGACGCACGAAGCCAGAAATGAGGTCCGTAGAGCTGCTCTTGTAAAATCATACGCACCGCTCACAATGATGTTCTTAATTAACACAGTTATTCCATTAAGCTCTTGCTTTGTGCTCAAAAACCAGATTGAATCCAAGGTGATACACAAAGCATCATTAAGCGTCTGATGATCTGCCAACGCGATCAAACTGTCTGCAAGTTCCCAATCATGTGAGCTTACAGCACCCTGAAACAACCGACCCAACTCGAATCTGTCTTGTCTGCTAAGTTTCTTTTCATGACCGGACTTCCCCTTCTTTCCCTGCTTATAATCTGTCACAACAAGCATGGATTTGGGACTCTGTTCATTGGAATTACAACCAAAAGCTAGAACCGACTCTTTCTTCACAAGAGGTCCTTCTCTAGAGAATACAACACTACTTCCCTCGCCTTTCTCTGATGCAGGAGCATAAACATCGCTCTTCGGAATATCGATTCCATCCTCCTCAGTTTTGATTTCCATATTTATGTGGTCGAACATTAAGGCTTCATCAGCCACATTTTCCCTAATCGGAACCAAAACCTCCTTTTCCATCGGCCCGCTTGATTCAATTCTGCGCCGCACCCCTCCTTCCAAAGAGCACACAAGCACCCCGAATCAAACAAGATTACTTTCCAGTCATCAAAACCCCAACATCTACAATCTCTTCAGCAAACTACTGAATCACGGTGCCCTCTAAAAAAGAACTGCAAAAATAAAAGAACAAACACCAAAGAAATCGGAATGTTAAATCCAAAGTCGAAATAAAACACCAAATAAACTGAACTCCAAAACAATCAAACACGAAAAGAAATCGCCAGCATACCGTGCCAGTAAACAATAATAAAAAAATAGAAACAAGAAACCAGAATTTACATAAATCAATCAGCCAAAAAACCTCCCATATACGAGCTCCATACCAATAATCAATCTAAAACCACCACCACAAAACAAAACTAATTCAGAAAACAACACAAAAATCAGGAACAAGAACACATAGATGTCAAGAAAGGAAGAAATGGAGAAACGATCAAACAAATACCTTAAAGCCGAGGGAAGTAGAAAACTAAAATCAAGGGCACCAAAAGAAAAAAAGAAAAAAAAAATCGAATCCAATCCAATTGAAGAAGAAGAAGAAGAAGAAGAAGAAGAAGGATGAATCGAAGGCAAACCTGAGATTAAAGGTGGAGAGAGAAGCATGGAGAAACGGGAGAAGGAAGAAGAAACCCTGATCTCCGCTCCGTGTAAATTTATCGCTATTTTTCCTTTTTCTTTTTCTTTTTTTTTTCTTTCCTATTTTCGGGGGTTTTTTTTTTTTTAATATTATTAATTTTTATAAAAATAAAATATTATAATTTTTATTCCATTTTTTCAAGAATAAACGGAGGCCGTAGAAGTGAGTGACCGAGAGAGTGAGGAGTGTTTTTTTTTATATTTATATTTATATTTATTTATTATTATTTAATTAAAAATAAATAAATAAAATTTTGGAGAGTCATAGTCACATAGGGAGAAGCAATTATTAATCGGTGGGGCCCACTTGTTGCAAAATACTCACGTGGGCCCCACCCTTAATCATTTCTCTTTAAAGTCTTAAATCTCAAGTTTTAAGAAGACGATGGGCAGAAACAGTACTCCACTGGGCCCCACCTCACCTCATTATTTTGGTTTTTTTCTCTTTTTTTTTTGTAGAATAAAAGCAAATAATTTATTTCTTTTTTTAGTGCAAATTTTTAATTAATTGTTAAATATATACTACAAATTTATTCTATATATTTTTAATAAGTCTTACATTTAATCTTTATTATTATTTTTTTAAAATTATATTTATATGATATTTTTCTTACATAAAAATTATTATTATTACTATTTATAATTTTAATAAAACTTAATTTTGAATGATTAAATTTACAATTTATTGAAAATATAATGCTTATATTTTAGATTATTATATTATTCAAAATTTAATATATCTATATCAAATATTATAAATATATTTCTCTTTTATATTTCATAATATTTAATATATTGAATACGTCCCATTAAATATATTTCTCCTTTATATTTAATATATCAAATATTTATTTATGCATTTAAAAAAAATCAACTAAATTAATTTATAAACTAGTAATTAATCTTGACAATACACTCAATTATACACCTAAAGTTTCAAGTACATTATTTGATAAGTTGTGTTGATTGATATAATCATTACAAATAAGTTAATCCTTCCTGAATTATTTATAATTACAATTGAGTTAAAAGTCTTTTTTGCCTTTATAAAGTGATTCCGAATAATTTATTAAATTAGTACTTAAAGTACTCGTATGCTTACCTTACATAGGAATAAGTGAATTCTATCTCATAATATTATATACCAGGCTCCCTATTTGTCTAATGCAAGATGGAACATTGAACCATACGACATAAACAACTTTCTTGATACTAATATAAACTTAAACCGATCAAGAACTGATTGATTAAACTACGTTTAAATTAATTAACGACCAGGAAAGGCGTTTGAATATCGACTAATTCTTGCAGCCAATTTGGAATGTTCCTCCCCCCAACATTGAGAGACAGAATTCTCCGTGGCCCATTGAGCAATGTAGTCAGCAGCAGCAGCACCATCTTTCAGCCGGCAGATCTGATCAAATGAAACCATTTTTCAAACCCTTTTTATAAGCAACACAGCCATTTCAACGATACCAATGATTGAACAGAGGAAAATGGAGCAACAAAGAGCCATAATTGATGAAAGTTTGATAGCCAAAGATGAAGCCAAGACTAGAAGATTGATATCCCCTCCAAATTTTCTCATACACTGTTCTATAAATGACCCTTTTGTTTCAGCTCAAACATTACTCTAACTTGAAAGAACTGAATCAAAATGGCAGCCATAAAGAGACATGATAGTCGGGTTAGTTGTCCGTAGTAGGATGTCCAGAGGTTAATAAACCCTCGAATATTATGCAAGACATGATCACCATCATCATCACAATGTACGAGCTCATACTCATCATCATAAATAGGGAAGTAACCAGATGTATATAAACACATACTATGCACGAAGCCTCTATAGTTTTCAGAATGACACAACCCTAAATAATGTTAATGATGATAAATGCATGAAGGCTAATGTATGAACGTACCTATCTCGTTTGGAAGTTCATCGTCTTAATGCACCGTGCATAGAGAAGGGCAAAGACGACTGTGAAGCCCACCAGACCTGCAGCCACAGGGCCCATAAAATCTGAGTGGTACCCATAATAGTCTTCAATATATGATTTGACTGTTGTGTCTTTTGCTCCAGGCACTTTGATAAGAGTCTCTACATCACCATACTGGGATGCAATCATCCCATATACAGTCCATGACAATGGGCAAATCCAGTAATACCATATCCACCATTTTGGGATTTTCTGAAATTTCAAGAGCATCAGAATGCATGAATGAATGGGGTGTTCTTCCAAGTTCTTATTGTTTAAAAAGTTTAAATTTAGTTCTTCATAATTGTGTTTATATAATAGAAATATACTCACTGGTCTTGGGATGCAGAAGCCAGAGAAGAGAACGAAGAGTATATAGAAAGCTCCTGCTAAAATGGAGGCAACTTGGTGGTTTGGTGTGACAGAAACTGTCATCATGCCATAATATGTGAAGTAGAGGAAAGTAAAGAAGTTGACAAAGAAGAACCAGAAGAATTTTGCAGCTGTCCACTCAAAGTCAACCATTGCATATACGATGAGAGTATAGTAAACCGTCTGGACAAAGACGTATGGTATTTCAATTATCACCTACATTGAAAGAACATTGAGAGTTATGTATTCATCACTTGTTCTGAGAGATTGTTCTGAGAGAATCTGTGAGATCTCACATCAATTGAGAAGAGAACAAAACATTCTTTATAAGGGTGTGGAAACTTCTCCCTAGCAGACGCGTTTTAAAATTTTTGAGAGAAAACCCAAAAAGAACAATATCTGCTAGTGGTGGGATTGAGCTGTTACAAATGATATCAGAGCCAGACATCGGGTGATGTGCTAGCGAGGAGGCTGAGCCCTGAAGAGGGGGTGGACATGAGGCTGTGTGCCAGCAAGGTCGTTGGGCCCTAAAGGGAGGTGGATAGGGGGTCCCACAATGATTGGAGAAAGGAACGAGTGCCAGCGAGGACACTGGGCCCCAAAGAGGGAGGGAATTGTGAGATCCCACATTGGTTGAGAAGGAGAACAAAGCATTAAGGGTGTGGAAATCTCTCCCTAGCAGACACATTTTAAAAACCTGGAGGGAAAGCCTAAAGAGGGCAATATCTACTAGCGGTGGGCTTGGGCTGTTACAAATGACATCAGAGCCAGACATCAGGCGATGTGCTAGTGAGGAGGCTGAGCCTCGAAGGGTGGTGGACACGAGGCGGTGTGTCAACAAGGACGCTGGCCCCAAAAGGAGGTGGATTGGGGGGTCCCACTTTGATTGGAGAAGGGAACGAATGCTATCATGGACATTGGGCCCCAAAGAGAGGTAGATCATGAGATCTCACATCAATTGGAGAGGAGAACGAAGCATTCTCTACAAGGGTGTGGAAACCTTTCCCTAGCAAACGCGTTTTAAAAACCTCGAGAGGAAGCTTAAAAGGGCAATCCCAAAGAGGACAGGACAATATCTGCTAGCGGTGGGCTTGGGCTGTTACAGAGTAAACTTCAAATTATATATTGGAAGCCATCAGCATACCTGAGAAAGGGCATAAGGTAATGCAGAATACATCCCCGCAGCTCTCTCTCGATAAAACACGGTTCTTTCGGTAGCGACTACTGGCAGTACGGTAGAGCAGTTGTTCACTCCAATAAACAAGACAGAAGAATACATTGCTCCAATAATCGTGTTTAGATCCTGTACTCCATCCCTAAGCCAAGTTTAGAATGAAAAACACCAAACAAATATCAGTATTATGAACAGGAAAGCATGGTTCTAATAAGTGGTTTATGGAAACACTTACATTTTGGAGCTAACTTTCCAGAAAATGGTTCCCAACATAAGGGAAGCAGCTAAAGTGAAAAAAAATCTAACAAGGTTGTAATCAGGACTTCTCCAGTACGTCCATGACTGCTTCCACAGGCAAGATTTGAACTGCCCCCACATGGTTTGGGAGTATTGAGTAGCAAAATAGAGGTCTACTGATCCTGGTGGTGGTGTGCTTAACTCTTTTACTAATGCCTTATTTCGCCTGTTTATTAGCCATAATCCATATTTATCAGCTTAAACCTCTAACTTTTAGTAACCACAATTTATAATTTGCATGAATCTTGACTCACTGATATAAAGATGATGCCCTGTAATGTTCAGCGAAGTCCATTTTAAGCTGAACTTCAGCTGCTACTGAGGTTACCTCCAGCATCCAGGCGGCCGGATTGTACTTTTCCTTAATTTTCGGCACTCCCGGAACAGCCTGCAACGAGTGAGTCCAAAATAAGTCGATTGATTCTCGATTTTTGTAATGGCCTAGGCCCACCGCTAGCAGATGTAGTCCTCTTTGGGTTTTCCCTTTCGGGCTTCCCCTCAAGGCTTTAAAACACATCTACTAGAGAAAGGTTTCCACACCCTTATAAAGGGTGTTTCGTTCTCCTCCCCCAACCAATGTGGGAATCACACTCCACCCCCTTTAGGGTCCAGCGTCTTCACTAGCACTCATTCCTTTCTCCATCTCCAATCGATGTGGGACTCCCACCAAATCCACCCCTCTTCAGGGCCCAGCGTCCTTACTGGCACACCGCCTCATGTCTACCACCCTTCGAGGAACAGCCTCCTCACTAGCACATCGCCTGGTGTTTGGCTCTGATACCATTTGTAATGGCTCAGGCCCACTGCGAGCAGATATTATCCTCTTTGGGTTTTCCCTTTCGGGCTTCCCCTCAAGGCTTCAAAACACGTCTGCTAGGTAAGGGTGTTTCGTTCTCCTCCCTAACCAATGTGGAATATCACAGTTTTGGTAAAAACGCAAGTGTTTCATACACCAAGAATTACCTCAAAATACTCGATTAGCTTCTTAGAATTGCGACCGAGAGGTCCAAAGTAGATCACTTGTCCTCCCCTTTTCATCAAAAGTAGCTACGCGAAATCGCTCGTTTCAGTATCATAAAACAGACATAGACAAAGATAGCAGCAAAAGAAAGGGAATGAATTTACCTCATCAAAGGCTTCAAATATATCAATGCTAGGTTGGTGAATTGTACACACAACAGTTCTACCAGTATCCACCGTATTCCGAACCGTTCTCATTACAATGGCAGCTGCTCTTGCATCGAGTCCTGAAGTCGGTTCATCCATAAAAATGATTGAAGGATTAGCAACAAGCTCGACTGCAATTGTTAACCTCTTTCTCTGCTCGGTAGACAGTCCTGTAATGCCAGGCAGCCCTACTATGGCATCACTAAGATTTTTGAGCTCCACCAGTTCCATCACTTCATCCACAAAAGCCTAAGAAATTAGTCAGAACGAACTTTAGCGTATTCGGGTTACGTGTTGTTCATCAGAAAAGTTAACATAAACTAATGCTCTCACCATCTTGTCCTTCTTGCTAACTTCTTTAGGGAGCCTTAAGAAAGCCGAGTAAATCAAGGATTCTCGAACCGTAACTTGAGGAGAGTGGATATCATTTTGTTCACAATATCCAGAAATTCTTGCAAATGTTTCTTGTTTCTTGGGAAATCCTGAAATTTTGATATCACCTTCAATATAGCCGCCTGTTTTCCTCCCGGCTAAAACATCCATCAGAGTTGTCTTTCCAGCCCCACTAACACCCATCAGTGCAGTGAGGACACCAGGCCTAAAAGCACCAGTGATTTCACGAAGTAGTTGGAGTCTATTATCTTTGACCCCTTGGTTCTTCATTTCCTGTTACGATAGCAAATGATCAACGAAATGATAAAGAAGAACGGTAAAGCTTGAAAGACGTCCAAAATCGACTTACAGAGGGCATGTCGACATAGTAATTTACAGTATCGAAGGACATTGCAAGAGGAGTGAATGGAAGAACCATTCCTCTCCTTGTATTGACAACATTGCTAAGAGGGGAATTAGTGTCTCTGTCCCCACCGCGTCCACTGTCAGAAGATCTGCTGCTCATTCGCCAAATCGTCATTTCTCCTGCGTGGATTTTCGGGAAAAAGTGAGCTGGATGAGCATGACAAATATTAGGTTCAATTTTTTTTACTTCGTACGTGTGTTGTTCCCATCAGAAGAGGATAATGATCTAGTCATTGAATCTGTTTTTGACTCGGATTGTCTCGTAGTCGGTTCTTTTACATCCTGCTCGTACTCCAACTCTTCTGTTGATTCTTCTGATACTATTGCTCGTGGCCTCCCAGGAGCTGTCATGTTGCTTTAATAGAATTAGATTTCTACCCATCAAATCAAAACTAAAAAGCTTTTGACACATTGAAAGAAATGCTTTCAAGTCTTACGGTTTAGGTACATAAGTGAAAGCGTGAAAAGCACATTGAAGAGGATTGTGAATCCCAAAAGAGCTCCAACTCCAATCCAAAACCAATTTTTATCTTGGAAGATATCAAAGTTCTTAAGCACAGCCAAACCCAACGGGGTTTTGTTGTCTGAAGCCTGCAAAATGAAGAACTTTTAATATCCTAGCCATACACAAACTAGATTTATGTAAACATGGTATTTCACCGCTAAACTAAAAAGATCGAAATGTGTGTTCGTTAGAAAGAATTAACATTACAAGAATTCGAACACAAACCCTCTCTATCATAATCCCATATTGTAACAGCTCAAGCCCATCGCTACTAGATATTGTCCTTTTTAGGCTTTCCCTTCAGAGCTTCCCCTCAAGGTTTTAAAACGTGTCTGCTAGGGAGAGGTTTCCACACCCTTATAAGGAATGTTTCGTTCCCCTCTCCAACCAATGTGGGATCGGAGAAACCCAGAAGGAAAAGCTCAAAGAGAACAATATTTGCAAGCGGTAGGTTTGGGCCGCTTACAAATGGTATCAGAGCCAGACACCAGATGGTGTGCTAGCAAGAACGCTAGGTCTCCAAGGGGGTGGATTGTGAGATCCCACGTTGGTTGGAGAGGGGAACGAAACATTCCTTATAAGGGTGTGGAAACCTCTCCCTACCAGATGCATTTTAAAAACCTTGAGGGGAAGCCCGAAAAGGAAAATCTAAAGAGGACAATATCACTATTGGACTCAAAGACTCAACAGATGGTCGTTTATTTATATTCTTCGACGAAACAAACTAGCTCGAAGATGTTACGTTAAGAGTGACATACCAGCCTGTTCATCCACCTGGGAGCGAACATTTCGTTTACGCCAATCGCATTGTAAACATAAGTCATGGGTGAAATCCAGTAACCCCAAATCCACCACTTGGGAATGTCACCTGTAGCAGTACACACCTCCGGGGCGTTAGCTCATACATGAGACATAATTTAGTTCTTGCATTGAAAATATGGAAAGGGTTTGTGTTTCTCCATTTTATCAATCAGGAGGATTACAGATTCACCTTTAGGAAGAGTGAAACCACCAAGCATGAACACAATTAAGAGAGTGAGAGAGCCTCCAGTGTTGGCAATTATCATGGTCCTGCAGAAACCAGCTATGAACCTAAAGAGCCCAGAAGCCACTAGTTGGAGTAGAAACATCGCCAAGAATTGCTTGAAAAACCTGTTTAAGAGCCACAATATTTGTGCATATTACCGACAGATCAGAGAGAGAAAAAAAGGCACTCTTTACCCGATTCTCATTTACACGGATTTTAATTGGATGTTTTGTTTAGATGTGTTTAACTCTATTAAAATAATTTTAATCAATTAAATTTTCATTTTTTAATAAACATATTAGGAATAATATGCCTTAAATTTTATTTTAGTTTAGACTAAATTAATAAAAATACTAATCCCTTAAACATACAAAAAAAAAATAATAAATATTATAAATATTATACTTTCAGTAAATAATTAATCATATTCATTTTATAATTCTTTTAAACAATTAAGTAAATATTTTAATAAATTATTATTGATTTATGAAACTAAATAATTACTTATATTAATTTTGTTAAATTAGTATTATTTAATTAATCGATTAATTAACTATATTCAAAATTAAAAGCAAAAGAAAAAATGGAACAAATAGAAACCCCACACTAGATTGTGAAACATTTTCCTAAACAAAAATGTTGAAAAAGTAATAATTCAATTTTCCAAATTAATATTGTATCAGCCCAGGTCCTATATTGTCCTCTTTGGGCTTTCCCTTTTGGATTTTCCCTCATCTCTTTAAAATGAGTACAGGGAAAGGTTTCCCTTTTGGGCTTTCCCTCGCTTTAAAACGCGTACATGGGAAGGTTCCCACAACCTTATAAATGGTGGTTTGTTCTCCTCCCAACCAATGAGGGGAAGGTTTCCACACCCTTCTAAATGGTGGTTTGTTCTCCTCCCCAACCAATGAGGGAAAGGTTTCCACACCTTGTTCTCCTCCCCACCCAAGGAGGGATATCACAATCCACCCTACAGTGGAAGGTTTTCACACCTTTATATGGTTTGTTCTCCTCGATATCACAAACCACCCTGCAGTGGAAGGTTTTCACACCCTTATATGGTTTGTTCTCCTCCCCAGTCAACGTGGGATGCACCCCCTTCGAAGTCCAGCGTCCTCGCTAGCACTCTTTCCTCCCTCCGATCAATGTGGGACCGCCCTCAAATCCACACCTTTGGGGCCAGCGTCCTTACTGGCACACCGCCTCGTGTCTACCCCCTTCGAAAACAGGGAGAAGACTGACACATCGTCCGGTGTCTGGCCCTGATACCATTTGTAATGGCCTAGATCAACAGCCAGTAGATATTGTCCTCTTTGGATTTTCTCTTTCAAGTTTCCCCGACTCTAAAATAAAATGAGTATAAATGGGAGTGTTCTCCTCCCCTTCCCAACATTCCAAATGTTGACATCACAAATATTCTATTCAAAAGTGAAAAAATAAATAAAATAAGAGAATACCTGGAAGCTTCGGGTGCAAATCCAATGGTGTAATAAGTGATAACCATCCAAGCGAAAGATTCAAGCGCAGAGAGAGGGAGCCGAAGAAGAACAGTAGGGAGGGTGTAAGTCCACGGCGGGTGAAACAGAAGATCCCTCTGCTTAAAGAACACCGGCAGCCTCACAATCGTCAGCGCAATCTCCGCATATCCATTGAACATATTCACCATCATCGCGAAAATTAAAGCCCCCATATAAATCGCACCGTCGTCTTCATCCCGGTGATGCATTTTCGTCCTGAAGAACACCGTCGCCGCCACAAACCCTACCACGATTAGCTGAACCATCTTGAAGATATGAATGAACGAATTTCGCTTTATCAGTAGCCATTCCTTGTCGACGCAGGCCTTCAGAAGCTCCAATTTAGGGCCTGAGTACTTTTTGTACACCAGCGCCGCTCTGTGCCCTAACGACTTGTCGTACGGGACTGACAATTCGTTTCCAATACTCTTCCACACATGGAATCGCTTGAATCGCCTTGCGAATTCTTGAACCGTTATGAATCGGTATGGCTCGCTTTTGTTCGCCCAGTATTGCCTTTGGTCCTTCTTTGAGGTTACCTCTTGTAAGAAATCGGCGGTTCCCTTCCGGTCCGGGCATTGGAACCCACAGGATTGAAAGAATTCCAGTACGTGTTCTCGTGGGCCCTCGTACACGATCTGACCGTCTGATAAGAGGATGATGTCATCGAAAAGATCGAACGTCTCCGGAGCGGGCTGTAGTAAGGACATGACCACCGTAGCTTCCGTGAGGTGCACGATCTGTTGGAGGCACTTCACTATTTGATATGTCGTGGAGCTATCTAGACCCGTTGATATTTCATCCATAAATAATGTTTTTGTAGGACCCACTAATATTTCACCTGTTTATACACAACATTTATATAAATGTACGGAAATTTCATTTTTAATTTTAAATTATCTTACATTATAACTATTTTATTTATGTGCTTAATTAATAAAAATATACGCTTAAACTATTTTTTTAGATTTTTTTTTTAATTTAACTTTTAAAAATTTATGAATATTTTTATTAATTTAACTTTTATTTTCGAGAAGAAAAGTATAAATTGACCTGTGGTTACTCGTTTCTTTTGACCTCCCGATATGCCACGTTGCATCTCATCTCCAACGATAGTGTCCTTACAAATATCAAGTCCTAATATCTAAAAACCGTACATAAAACATATCGAGTTAGCAGAAAAATGTGTGGAAAATGGAAATATTCTTCCCAAATAAAAGCTCGTCAATTTTATTTTCATATATAAAAAGAATTAGCTTAAAATATGATTTTTTATTTATATATTTAAAATTTTATTTAATTTTAGAAACTAAAATATTTAAATCCACTTACTTTGAGGGTGTAATCAGTAATCATACTACTTTCAACTCCTTCCATTGCTGTGGCCTAACGCATTCAGGATTAAGAATATCATTAAATTTAATTAAATTATAAATAAGGATTAAGAATGATAACAAATGGAAATGACAATAATGACCTTCATAAACAGGTCGACTTCAGCCTCCGGCAAAATTCCGGCTTGCTTTTCTCTTCTTGCAAGCTCACTCAGTAATTCTAAATCATGCCCACGTAATTAGCTTCTCGATAATACCAACCATATTTTTAAAATATCTATTTTGACGCAAGTACCTCTATAAAACTAAATATTATTATAATCGAAGAATGAACGTAAGTTTAGGGACTAAATATCAAATTTAATCATTGTTTTATTATGTTAATATTATTACCATATCGAGTGCCGACTCCTTGACATCGTGCTGAGAAATCGAGCGTTTCTTTTACTGTCATTTCTCCAATATGGATGTCATTTTGGCTTATATATGCAGATGTTTTTTGAGGCACAAATTCGTTTAGCTTGTTTCCGTTGTATGTAATTTCTCCTTTAGCCTGTTCTTCATTATAAAAATAAAAAGTGTTGTTATTTCTTCCTTACTCAATTATGGATAGACTAAATTAAAAGATCAATTAACTTTGCAATTTATCCTAAAAAATATTCTAAAAGTTTCAAAAATACCCTCCAAACTAAAAAAAAAATCATATTTAGAAAAAAAAATTCTTACCTACCCTTTAAATCGAAACTATTTCAAAAATACTTTTAAATTTTAAAAATATTTCGAAAATACCCTTTTAACTTTTACAGAATTTCATTTAAAAAATATATTTACCTAATACTATGTTTCAAAAACACTCCTAAAATTTTAAAAGTAATATTTAAAAAAAATAAATGTTAAAAAGGTTAATGCAATATTTTGAAGTACCAGTAATAAGTTTATATTTAAATTTATAAAAAAATTAAATAATAATTTTTAAAAATATTTTTAAAATAAAATATTAACGAGATTATTTTTTTTTTTTTTAATGTTTTAAAAATTTATGGATATATTTTAGAGAAATACAAAAATTTAGGAGTATTTCCATTATTTTAGCTGGTATGTATGTATAGATACATACATACACATACATACACGTGTGTGTGTGGGGAATAAATACAAACCTTTAAATTTTGGTCCAACCTTCCCGCCAGCGCCAAAAGTAAGGTCGTCTTGCCCGATGATGGGGGACCCAGCAGCAAACTCATCCTTTCAACGAAACATTTTCCAATGCCGTTAAATTAATTTTTTTATTATTATTATTTCTTTATAATATAAAAACTATTTTAAAATATTCCAATAGATAACAGAGTCGAGCATGCAAATTTTAACGTAACATTACATTACATCATATGCTTAAAATGAATAGAACGTAACAAGATTAAATATAGAAGAAATACCTAGAAGGTTTGACGATCCCGGAGACGTCTTTGAGAATGGTGAATTTGGCGGTCTTCGCCAAATTGATTCCAATCAGACTTAGAGCCGATTCCACCACATCTCGAATCGCATTCGGAAGACTAGGAAGTGCTCTGTTTCCGATTTGGCAATCAGCGTGTACCGTCAAGTTTTCGAATCTCACTTCAACAGTCGGCAGATTAATTCCAACTCTACAAATCAAATTTCAGATCAATCCAAAATCGAACGAAAAAATGAATCACGATTTTGTTCTTAATAACTTTACCGATCGATTCGATCTCTAAGTTTCTTCAAGAACTTCTCGTTATCTTCCTCTGCGATCTTGAAGGTACTTTCCATGAACATCCGCCGATCATCCATGTCGAGCCTCCGAACGTCTACCTGTTTGTGCAGAATCGCCTGCGTTTGGCTGCTTCCGATTTCGCCGGATTCGGCGAAGGATTTGAAGATGCTTGTTCTTAATCGGTCGTAGGTTGGAAGTTTCTCTATCGCCGCCCATCGCAAAGCCTCTTCGTCTTCTTCGGCATGGCTAAGCCTTCTCGAATTTCTGCCGCCGGACAACACGTACTCGATGCTCCGGCCACTTCTTTGCCTCAGGCTCCGGCTACGGCTCCGGCTCCCCATTTTCCCCTTCTCTAGCTCTTCCATTTTCACTCTCTCTCCTCCTCCTTGTAGTCTGATGATTTGTTAAGCTAACTCCCTATATTTATAGCGTTTCTCGCCTCTGCCGTCATGTCGCATATTTTCAAATTTTAATTTTCTATTATTTCCATAACTCAACATATCAAATTTTTAAAAATATATAAACCTTAAAATTACTTAAATCAACAATAACAAAATTAAAAATAATAATTAATATGATAATATACATCATTTTCGTTATCAAAATGACTAAAATAACCTCTCTTTTTTTTTTTTAAAATATAATAATTTATGTCAATTACACTAGGAGAGATATTCACCGAGTTGGGATGGAGAAGGCTTCCTCGACCATATTCCTGCCTCCTATTTTCATATTTCATCCTCCTGAAATTCTCGGTTTATTTTTTTAGAGATCGAAGAAAAAATTCCTCGTGTAGAGTTCATGAGGATTGGGTTCGCCTAAAAAAAAATATAAAATATCCCGATAAATCTAATAATATTCATGGAGAAATTTTTCCTCATTTTCCGATCAAACCAAGATTCTCCACTTTTGTTCGGAACATGTCCTTACGAGACCTCGATCCTATAAATTAAATAAATATCTCTATTTACAGCATAATAAATAAATATTATTCAATAAATTTACGGGACATTAAAAATTTATTAAATAAACTTTATGTTAGGCACCGCCTATTTTTAGGAAGGAAAAAAAAAACGAAGACTTCCATAATTATTTTTGTTTGAAACTAGTAGTTCGAACTAAAGAAGCATTAGGGTTGGGGATGATTAATTATTATTATTATTTAATGTTATTATTCTATACAAAATAGATCACTATAAAGTTTAGGAATAACTTTCTTCTTTAGGGCACTCCCACCGTCAAAATTCAATCCACAATTTCCAATATGTTATTTTTTTTTTCTATTTATAAACAATGGCCTAAATATTTCTCCTAATTTTAGGAATTTTTCCAAAATTGTAACATTATTTCAGAAATAAAAAAATAAAAAAACAATAAATTCTCTTTATATTTATTATTATTTTACTTTGAAGAAATTTTTGGAAAACAATAATTTTTAATTTAAGTAATTTTAATCTTATTTAAAAATGAAATTAAAATCACTTCTAAATGTTTGATTTATTATTATTATTATTTTGTAATGGGTTGTTTTTATTTTATATGTTGAAAAAAATATATTTATTTATTTTTATTTTTTGTTATTTTTACAATTATTGTTACGAGGTAAAGTGAGCAATCGTCGAAGTTTTTGGTCGGTTGAGGGGCGTAGGTTGTCTCTATGATTATAGGGTTTTAAAATCTGTCCCATTTTTTTAATTTAATAATACATGAGATTTAACCGAATTTAAATTTATATTTTATATATTTTAATCGGTTGCATATTTAGTTTTAATGTCATTGTCACGTTAAATTATTATTAAAATTTTAAATGAAATATTTATTAAAATGACGATTTATTAAACTCAAAATTGGGAGTAAATTAATTTATAAGACAATAAATTAAAAAATTAAGGATTTATTACACAATTAAATACAAAATTGCAAGAACTAGTTAATTTTTAATTTTTTTTAAATTAAACTTATCAACCTTATGTTTTAAAAAATTAAAATTAACATTTGAAAAAAAAACTTACTTTTGCTTTTAAAATTGCCTATGAAATTAAATATTATTTACTAGATAAAAAATAGCAAAAATAAATATAATTTTTAAAAAATTGTCATAAAAAATATCACAACTCTTAAATTAATATTAAGATTTTTTAATATTTCGAGGTAGTTTTGTAATTTTTGTAATTTCTAAACTTTTAATAAACTTTGGTTTCACTAAATTAATTTTTAACTAAGTTGTTAAAATCTTAATATGACGACATAATTTGTTTTGCATATGTCATTTTATAATTTATTATTTTACAAAACTTGAACAGCCAAATATCATAATTAATTATTTTATAATTATGATTATTAATAAATGATGAATAATCATATAAAGGAAACGGGGCTACTTTAGATTTTAAATAAAGTTTAAGAAAAATTGGATTAATATTTTTCATGAAAGGCGTTAATATAATAAATATTTAAAAATTAAAATCTCATGGTAATTAATGAAAATAGAAAGTCAAATAAAATAATTGATGATGACGTCATTCAATTATCAATTTTAAATAGATAAGGAAGCATTAATGACAAATTAATTTGAGTCGAATAATATTGATATTACAAGTTGAAAATGTGAAACCTAAGTCGCCTTTTCTTTTATTAATGTAACATTTTTTTTATTGTTGTTTTTTTAAAAGACTTTAACCACTCCATTAATTATATTATAAATTTAGTTGTTTGACTTTTTTCCTTATTGGTCGGTTTTATGTTTAATAAGTCTCTAATATATTTATTTTTTAAATAATTGATTTATTAAACGTAAAATTAAAATTTATGTTCAGGTTAAGGAGTGAAAACTTTTTGTTAATAATTAATTTTAACATGATTTACAACAAAAAGTAATGGGTTTGAATTCTCGATATTACTTGTTGAACTAAAAAAAGTTATTTAATTGTGACATTTTTAAATATTATTTGAAAATTAGCTGAAAGAGGTCGGTAATTTAAATAAGGACATAAATTTCTAATCACTAAATCAAATGTAATTGCCGTTATGTTTATATCGACAAGAAAATAGTTGATATTATAATCACGTAATTAAAATTTTAATTTGATTAATCACCCGTACTTTTTTCATAAACTTTCACTTTTTAAAAAAAAAATTCATTAACTTTCAAAAATTTCAATTATACTCTTAAACTTAATATATATATATATATATATATATATATATATATATATATATATATATATATATATATATATATATATATATATA